AGCGATCAGCAGTCGGCTCTATTTTTTGCCACGCCAGAACACAATAGAAGACCGACATGAAGCGAATAGAATTGGGGTGGAATTGATTAATGGGAATACCGTACTTCTCAGAAACTGCGACGAAGAACGGATGGAGGGGAAGAGCAAGACCAGCATAGAATTGGCCTAAGTGAAAGGTGACACTGTTAGGAGGAGGAGAATGAGGTCGCTCGTTCTCGCGAGGAGTCGCAATGGAAAAGCCTGAAGGAAGGCCCACGTCGCGCATAAACAGTTCTATATGGCGAAGAGTCACGAGGGAACTCTCTGAAATTCCCGCTTCCCCTGATTGGACCTTTTTCCTAACCTTTTGAGTCACCGGCCGAGGCTCAAGGTTTACAAGGGGGCAAGAGGTGTCAGAAAGCGTGTCGGAAGAGGAGTCAGATGAGGAAGAACTAGAAGACGAAGAGGACCCTATGACTAGAGAAGGATCCTCATTTGGAGGCAAGTTATGCTCGGCGGAAGAAGGGGGACGAAGAGATGACGATGAGGGACCAAAAGCCATGACACGACGACTCAAGAGATTACAAAGCAGAGAAGGAATTTTTATAGACGTATTAAAGAGTAAAGAAAATGAGGCAGAGAACGAAGAAGTACCTGGTGCCTTAGAAAGAAAAGGAGGCTAAGGGATGCGCGAGGCTGGTTCTCACGATGAGCGAACTGGAATAAAAAAGGGGCGAGTAGCAAAAAGGCGAGACGGAATAGTAAGTTTGGTAAAAGAAGTGGATGAAATGGAAGAGGAGGTATATATAGGGAGGGGGAAAAGGTAAGGTGAAACGATCCTGCAAAAAGGACCGTCGGATCTAACGGTGATGGAAGGCGGAGATTAAGACACGAGGTCCGGGTAGCAGTAACGGGCGGAAAATCTTGGACAGGTGTCTCGTCACGGTTGGGCGGCGACAGCTATCGAAAAGACGAGAAGATGATACGTTCCCCACGTGCGAAGAACGCGGGACTCGAGACGCAGGGCAATAATGAAAAGCATTGGGAAGGGGCGCGTATTCACAGAAATAAATATGTGGTGGGAAAAAGCTCGCACGATTAACGGTGTGAAGTTCGCGAATATGTTTCCTGAGGGCGTACGGCTCCCTCTCTCATTTCTAATGTTGTAGTCCGCTCCAAGCATATTCTCTAGCGAACTATCTTTAGGTTCACTAGAGAATAGGGGGGACTAGATGATAGGGCCCAGTTTGTCAACCTAGCCATTTGTAATGGGCCCGGGTGCGAAAAGGCTAGCCCACATAGGGGTTGGGCCAAGCGGGACGAATCTCGCTACAACTAAGCCCAAATCAACCTATCGAGCAAAGCTCAGCCCATAAGATGGCGTATGGTTTTTCTCTCTAACACGCTCAAACAAGGCCCAGAGGAATTGAACGTGGGCGAGAAAACATGGCCCAAGCGAGTTAAGAGGGCGCGATTTCAGCATGAGAATGAGAGGGAGGGGCAATCAGATCTTCTATATAAGGCCCAAGATCAAGACCAAGGAGGAAAAACGGGAGTAATGGACGAAATCTGTCCCCTTAATTGCCGGGAACAATTAGCTTATAAAGACCTTTGTAATCATCGTCGAAGCGGACACACATAGACAACAGTACAAAGAAAGACATAAAGAGAGAAAATAATAAAAAAGATCAAAAAAGATTTTTATCATAATAGAATTTTTACCGGAAGATTCATAATTAGGGTCCCGGTGGAAAATTCTTGAAGGTGCGAATTTTCGACACCTTCACCCCTCTATTTAAACCATAATCAGAAAGAGCTAGAGAGAGAAAATTACTGAGATTTTTCATTTTACTTTTTCTTCTTCTATTTTTCTACCTCAGGTCACCCCAAGATAAAACACATTCACTGTGTGTGTTTTCTCTCTCTTCTAAATAATTGCCGAAATAAAATAAAAAGGTAAAATCTTTAGCTCGGATTTCATGTTCTTCCACCCTGATTCTGATCGAGCTCAAAAATAACCACTGATTCGTTGCAGAATGAAAGAAGTTCTTCTGTTCATCCTCATGCATTTATGTATGAAGATGTACGTGAATATATGTAATTTTGGCTGTATTGATCCGATTTAGGGTTTATATCTGGACTTCATCTTCAAATCGTCGTCTTTATTTTTTATTGCTTTTCCATATCAAGAAAAGGATTCTTGGAACTGGATAACAGATCATCTGATCATCTTTTATCTTCGATCTTTGATTTTCAATTTTTTTTTTTGTCAGCTGGCCCTAGTTTTTGATTTTCAATTGAGTCAAAACTCAAACACTAAAACAATACTTACAGGTTACACAGATTTTACAGAACTTCCTAAAACAATACTTCCAGGTTACACAGATTTTACAGAACTTTTTCAGCCTTGGGTATCTGATCATCTTTCATCTTCGATCTTTGATTTTCAATTTTTTTTTGTCAGCTGGCCCTAGTTTTTTATTTTCAGTTGAGTCAAAACTCAAACCCTAAAACAATACTTCCAAGTTACAGAGATTTTACAGAACTTCCTAAAACAATACTTCCAGGTTACACAGATTTTACAGAACTTTTTCAGCCTTGGGTATCTGATCATCTTTTATCTTCGATCTTTGATTTTCAATCTTTTTTTTGTCAGCTGGCCCTAGTTTTTTATTTTCAGTTGAGTCAAAACTCAAACCCTAAAACAATACTTCCAGGTTACACAGATTTTACAGAACTTCCTAAAATAATACTTACAGGTTACACAGATTTTAGAGAACTTTTTCAGCCTTGGGTTTTGGCCACTGCATGTGCAGTAATTCCTTTTAATTTGTTTAATTAGGGCACCATTACGAATTTAAATTTGGTGGGTTTTACTTGGATCATCAAACCGCGGTTTTTTTCCCAGAAATCTTTTAATTTGTTTAATTAGGGCACCATTACGAATTTAAATTTGGTTAGGGTTTTACTTGGATCATTAAACCATTTAAATTTGGTTAGGGTTTTACTTGGATCATCAAACCGTGGCTTTTTTTCCTTAGAAATCTTTTAATTTGTTTAATTAGGGCACCATTACGAATTTAAATTTTTTTACTTGGATCATCAAACCGTGGCTTTTTTCCCCCAGAAATTCATCTTTTTTCTTTTATTTTTTCAATTATGTATTACTATATTCAATCTTTTTTTTTGGATATTCAATCTTTTTTCTTTCATCTTTTTTCTTTTATTTTTTCAATTATGTATTACCAGCTTGGATATTCAATCTTTTTTTTGGATATTCAATCTTTTTTCTTTTATTTTTTCAATTATGTATTACCAGCTTGGATATTCCAGTTCATGAAGTCAAAACTAAAACACATAAAACAACAGTTTTTCAAAAACTCCATTTCAGCCTTAAGTGTTGTTTGTCATCTGCATGCATGGATAGTACTTTTTTTAATTTGTATTTTCAGGTTTTGTTGAGCCTCTCCCGATTTGTGTTGCGAATTCTAAGTGATAGAAACGAAGAAGGAAATTAAGAAGATAAGAGAGCTGGTAGGAAAAGTAGTTTATTACTTGAGTACTTGTTGGATTTATTGTTGGATGATTACAAATGAGGACCCTACCTCTATTTATACAAGGCCACCTCCTGAATGGACGGTGGAGATCGATATGATCTAACGGTTGGGAGTGGAACACTCCAAAGAATCCCTAAAATGTCTCTACCTACCACCACCTACCTCTACCTACCAAAGAATCCCTACCTACCACTATACAATTGGGCCAACTTGGGCCTAACCCTATTTAGGCTACATCTTGGACTCTTTCTAATCTCCCCAACCCAAGGGAAATTGGCAAGGGGTTGGGTCAAAACTAGCGGGCCGTGACAAACTGCTACAAAAACTTGCTCCAAGATTACCAGGTTTGTCTGCCGATAAGGAATCAAAGAGGCGGAGGTAATAAATTCTAGTCTGGCCCTTTACTTAATGGACTAAGGGTAATTTCTATATTGGCCCTTAAACCCATTTATACTTTATCAAATGGGCCTTAATTATTTCTCATTCCAGACTGCTGGGCCAACGCGGCTTCGGCCCTACTATCTTTCGAAGTTCAGAGGATTTCAGTCCGTCCTGATCGAAAATCAATCCAAGTTTCTACCCAACACTTTATCGACCACACCCACGAGGTGGCGTGGGTAGATTTCTATTACTGGAATTACTCACCATGTAAACATGCTTGAGAGGCTTATTTCGTTGATGCGGATGGCTACGCGCCTCTTAATTACGCGCGTTTAAGAGGAGTATGCTTTTGAGAAACATACCATGCGTACACCGGCCGATTTACGCGAAATGCGAAAATCCCTAAAATATGGGTTAAAGACGTTGTAAAAGTTTCAACTTTTGATGAGGTCAAAACGGCGATAGATAGTGGTCATCCGGTATTGGGATATATTGATATATATCCGGGTTTGAAATCCTTCGACGAAAAGGAAATAGAAATGTAAATATATATATATATATATATATATATATATATATATATATATATATATATATATATATATATATATATATATATATATATATTTGCATTTTTATTTAAGTTATTTATTATTTTTTGATAACTAATTGATTATTTATTGTTTTTTTTATATGGAATTTATTCATATAAGTATTAGATGGACACGTTATCCTCATTGTTGGGTATGGTATAAGGAATGGAAAAAAATTCTATGTCGTACAAAATAGTTGGGGGAATCGTGGGGCCGTAAGGGCATTGGCGAGATCGACTGTAATAATGTTCGTCCACAGTGTCATGCATCCGAAGTTTGCGTTCAGGTTAGATCTAAGATTTAGATTTAATATTAATCTTAATCTTAATTACTGAACTGAACTTTTTTTTTTTTTTTTTTTGGTAAAGGAAAATCTACCAACACACGAAACATGGACAAGATAGGAAGAGGAAGCGAGGAGTCTGCTTTGTGAAGTAGGGAATTGGTTGGCATTGTCTGCTCCGAAATCTGCAATTGATGAACCGAGCCGTGGTTGAACTTTTTTTGTTTTTTTTTCCCTTCATGTTATGAAAACTGATATATTGTTTTGGTAGGATATAAGGCCATTAGGCTCTGTTATATGAATTGAAACGGATAAAATCGAAACAAGTACGGGAATAGAGAAGGCTAAAAGCTTGGAGTAGAAATTGCTGCTGAATACTTGAATCTTCTGAGAATCGACACACTGAGACAGTGCATTTGTCAGCTTTCTCGAATTGTCTTTAGTGTGTGCTGCACTCAGAGTTACCCTTAACCTGAAACGAAGCGTAAAAAACTATTAATCGTCTAATCTAAGTCCTTGCCAAACTCAAGTTATAATAGAAAAACTAGTAGTATCAAAATAGATTACGAGTTTGACAAAGACCTGCATGAGAGTGCCGGGACTGTTGGAAGTCTAATTGCAGTTATGTGAAAACCTAATTTTAAGAGATGCCTGTGCACAAAGATTAAGAATGTTAGTAACTTACAGAACCAAATTTGAAAACATGTATAGAAACAGATACAAAGAGGAGAGGGGAGGGGTGGGGTGGGGTGGGGGTGGGAGTTTTGTAGGTACCGGCTAGCTTGTAGGGCCTTGTTTTCACTCCCAACAATGAGGGAAATGATGTGACTTTCAACCGGAAATCCGGTCAACTCACGGAATTCTTACATGCGTGTCCAAATAGCACTCCTACGCCATGCCTCATTCTTTGCTACATTAACAGCAGCTGCAAAAGTAAGACAAATATAATGAAGATATGATTTCCTCACAACTAAATTGATAAATAAACCAAGGCAATATAGAAATTTTAGAAAAAAACAAACCGTGGGCTGCAGCAGCAACAGGCACCGGTAAAGAAGTTGAGAATATAAACGACCGACCCCTGGATTGGATGAGCAGCTTCCATTTCTTGCTGTCATCCATATAAGTGGGAACATATTCGGTTTATTTAGCAAAAGTATTTCTTATACTCGTTGTCACAGTCGATTCAGATAGCACAACGAACCAATTATCTTGCTATCCAATTATTTAAGTGAAAGAATAAATTTTAAGCTTCAGTAGTGCGAGTTCTGTAGCACGGATTGTCGTACAAGCAAAGAATTGAGTCCAAAACTCGAAATTTTCAACAAGGCATAAAACTCGATATTTCACATTTTTACCTGCATGCAATGAATCCACCATGGCAACCTGCAGCTTTACCTAGAGTCCCTATGCAAATGTCCACATCAGCTTCACAGTTGAACATTTCAGCTGCACCACCGCCACTTTTTCCACAAAACAAATGTTGCATGAGCCTATAGATTCAGAGGGGAACAAAAAAGAGGGTTTTACAATTATTACCTTCTCATAGTTCTTCGAATTGAAAATTCAGAAACTTACATCATCAATTACAAACAGAAACCCATCCATGCTAAACAAGCTGGCAAAATGAAGAAAAATGAGTACACCGTGTTTAATGATGTTATAAGCAAAGGCAGTATGTCATACGACCGAATGGGGCTATGTGAATGCATGATGAACGGGATTTTTAAAATTGAGATCAACGTTAAAATGACTAACCTATCAGTTACAACAACTCTTTTCTTCATTGGACAACTTGACCTGATAATAATCCATTAAACAGTAAAAGCATACAGATTAGCTTATAGAAAAGAGAAAACGAGGTAAAGGACTTGAAAAGAGAGAAAAAAAAGGCCTACAATAATGCATCGAGATGGCACATATCGGCATGCCTGTACACAAAAGCCACAGCATTTCCTTGTCTCTCAGCAAGGCGAATGCCATCAATTATTGATGCATGGTTCAGAGCATCAGAAAATATAGCAACTCTATCGTCTTTTGACAGTTTGCCGCCAGCCACGAGCAAACCAACGTTACCGACAGCTGTCATGAAGGCCATGTTGGCTGAAAAGCCTGTTGGACAAAGAAGGCAATCCTAATATTTAACATTAGAACAACGACCAATCAGTTTTTCAAGAATTAACAGTACCACGTCAATCCGTTCAAAAGATGCTGACGAAGATCATGTACATTCAAAAAACAGAAATTAAAACGAAAACAATACTGCCCCTTTGATGTAGAAGTATAGTTACTTGAGCAGATTTACATAATCACCTACTCAACAATCTAGCAGTTTATTTGTAACCAATAGTAGGGAACTCGTCGAACATTGAAAACTCTCGATAGATACTATCTGATTAAAGATCAAAGCAGAACCTCTTGGACCCATTCCGTGTTCTTGAGCTGCCTACATAATCATCAAACTTTGTATAAATAAATATCCACAGCTGCGGAGCAGTAACAATGTCAAAGACTCGGTAAAAAAAAAACAGCAAAATTTAATGGATTGGTAGCGAAAAATCGGTAACATGCCTTAATCGCTGCATTGCTAACCATTGGATGTGAACTCAGTCCCAAGTAATCATTACCGGAGAAGACGATTAACTTCCTAAGCTTTCCGTCGATTGCCTCTGCTTTATCGTCGGCTCTTACATCGTCGTCTACGATATCATTGTCATCCCCCATAATTTCAACATTTGTTCTTTCAATATTCATTCTAGGTATTTCTAGACATGAATTCTTTAATTTCTTCAAGCTGAACTTTATTTCCCCAAAAAATTAGTCAAGTGCAAAACTAATGCCAATTTTACCAATTTAGTAGAAAAAAAAAATTAAATTAAAAAAAATTACACATAAGAAAGACAAAAAGGAGTAGGAGAAACAAAATTGAATTGCACCTGAACTGGGGACATCGTGTAGCCATTTTCGGAAAGTGGATTCTGAAATCTCCACCTCAACAGAAGCTCGGTCCCATTTGTTTGGGCCATCAAAAAATCGATTGAGATTCGACGGGGAATTTTCGGCGGAGGTGGAGCGACGAGCAGCTCCGGCGAGGAGGTGAATGAGTTTGAGGGAGCGCAATAGATTGAACGATTCGAGTTTCGAAAGGGATTCTTCTACCCAAAATTACCACGCGCCGCCATCCACCTCCATTTTCACGCAGCAGAAGGTGCATTTGCAGAGGGGTTTGCCTGCAATGGTAAAGGTCATGTGACGGGGGAAATTTTACATATTAACAATTGGGTAATTTACTTAAATTAAAATAATATCCGAATGCACCCTTCAATTTATATTTCTTGGCAAAGGACACCCTATTGCAATTTTGACTTTTTCTTTTTAATTCAATTCGTTTTAATAAAATAACTATGAATTATTAATATTTCAATAAATATCTAATTAGAATTGAAGAAAGAAAAAGCTAATCAAGTCAAATTAGTTTCGCACAAAAAACCCCAATCTCTGCACAAAGTGTTTTTGTATTTAACTCTTTAATTAATAATATTATTGTAATTAATATCTTTATTGTAAAATTAGGGCTACTTCCCTAACTTGTAAAGACATTGCCAATAAATAAGAAATCCACAAGTAAATAAATCGTGGACTAGCCCAGCTCATTATCAAAATCCAGCCTATTACCGAGAAAAAATATTCTAATAAAAAATTATGTATACACACACATATATATATAAATAAATATAAACTTTAAAATACACAAACGAAAGGGGAAAATCGACTAGGGTTTTGAGAGAGGCAAATCTAGAGAGAGAGAGAGAGAGAGAGACTTGTGTGCATGATGAACGGGTCGGAATTGCGAGGGGAAAGGAACGGCGGGAGGCACAGGAACCGAAAGACAAAGAAGAATCCAGAAACAAAAAAGAATGTCTTCCGTGGAGGTGGTTGCAACCTCTGGTTTCGTGACGGAGATCGCAGCCGCAGCCGCTGTCATCCTTTCCAAATCAAAGAGACGGAAGATGCTGCTGTTGGATCATTAATCCAACGTTGGACTTATATGTGAAATATTATGTGTTGCAAGACTGTCACGTAAAGTTAAGCACGTTAAAGTGATCGACTAAGGTTTAGGTAATTTTATTATAGTGATGGGCTAAAATAAAATTACACAAGATAGCCCATTAGGTTATCTATATATATTGGTCATGGTCCCCGGATACATATACATGTACGAATTCCATTCTCTATGTATACCATCTTCGTAAAGAAAACGAAGAGAAGTCTAAAGGGTTCTCGGGTTCGGATGTACATGATGATCTGGAAGATCTATGATCGTTTTATATCAATTCCACCGGAGTAAGGTACGCTTCCGATTTATGTTTATGCACAATATTCTTGATGATTCGGCATGACGGTTCCATGGGATTTATTCAAGTTTATTCCAACAACAGTTTATGTTTATGCACAATATTCTTGATGATTCGCCATGACGGTTCCATGGGATTTATTCAAGTTTATTCCAACAGCTGCCGCATTAGTTGTTCATCTCTACAACAAAACACATGTATCTCTCTCTCCCTCTCTCTCTTAAAAATTAAATTGTTGTTTTTCATGCTCCGTCTGAATGCTACTAATTAATTAATTAACGATTGATTCATTCATTCATCAATAATCGCTTCTTATCTTATTAATCTGTATATATATGTGTGTGTGTGTGTGTAGCTCAACAAATACAATGTAGTGGAAGTGCTGAGTGCAGCTGAAGTAGGACTTATACTGAATATAATTTTTACTGTTAAGCCTGATTCTGCTTCTGCTTCTGATTCTGCTTCTGCTTTTGATGATAATAAGTATCCCATATATTTTCGAGCTTCCGTTAACAACCTTTATACGTGTGTTGAGTATGTTGAAATTGTCCGTGATGCTCACCTGCACACTCTCGATTATAAGTAAATCCACCTTTATTTTTCATTCTGCTTTATTTTCTTCTTTTAATTATAATTCTACAATTTTTTATTTATTTATATATACATATATATACAATAATGTCTAGTCTTCCGAAGAAGAAGGAGCCCGTAGATATGTTTCGAGATGGCCCTGTGTTGTACGGCCCAGATTGCACCACCTGCTGTGATGATGAAACAAAGAATATTCTCAACGAATCTACCGATTTAGCTCTTCAAGTCCGCAACAATACCCATGTATGTATCTTCTTCAACATAAATGAATCATTAGTAATATTAATAGCCTCTTCTTTTAATTTATTATGGGTGTGTATATAATATATATATATATATATACATATGTTGTGTGTAGATTAAAAAATACAATTTGCCGGTTCTGGTGAGTGCAACTGGACATATATCCACAGACTCTAACTCTAAGGTGGATTTGATGTTTACCGCCGAGCCTGATCCTTTGCTGGAAGACAGTGATGCGAAACCGAGAACTTTTCGAGCTCGGGTTTTCTTCCTACACAAGTATGTAGAGTTTGTTGGTCTCCTCCCTCCTCCTACTAACCTTACCTGCTAATAATAGGTAATCGATTTTTTTCATTTTTCTTTTCTTAACCAAAGTTTTGTACTCTTCATATACCTATGTACATTTCAATGAATAGAGAATCCTTAACTTCTTCCAAGACCGTCATCGAGAAATCTATTTTGTCTGAAACTGATGATTTGATTGCTCGGATAATCTTTTGTTTGGTTTGATTTTATTCTGTCTTAGAATGTTCCTTTGTCCGTTGCCCCGTTTTTTTTATCCCCTTTTTTTTATCGTACAAGTTTGCAGAAAGTGATATATTTTTGTTGATTGTGGGGAAATTGAACTTGCTACACAGTATTTTCTTGTTCAACTCGCTAATACAATATGTACTGTATAGTGGGAGTTTTTACAATCAAGAAAATCACCATACAATTTGAGTATTTCCACGTCAGCTCCACTGGGCCCACTGGATTTTCCACGTGGATCAGTAGTTGGCGAAGAAGGCCCAACTTGCTATACAATATTATCTTACACACTTTCGTTGTATAAATAATGCCCATTGATTAATCCATCTACATTCTTTTTCTTTTATGTGTCTATTATGAACATGTTTAAATAATATATATGAATCAATACTTCACATAGTTCATAAACACTATTGTCAAGTATTTATAATGTATTTATCGTATAATATACTGTATGAATCAATACTTGATAGGAAATTGCACCATAATATGTATTAAACATGTGTTAGTGAAAAGTGTGTAAGATAACTTAAAAATAATTTAATATAATACAATGACCTACAAACCAAATATCAAGTTGCAATTCCGAATTATTATTATATCTCTTTGTTGGATTTTACAAGATTGTTGTCAGTATATTCTTGAACAAAAAATACGTATTCAAAGAAATAATATAACAATTTGATTTGAATTCTTGTTTTTCAATAAAGAAAGAACCCGCAACTAGTTAAATTGGTGCATTGAAACTCTAGATTGCCTTATTTCACCAATTTTGTCTATCTTTAGGGACATTCGTATAAATTAACTAAAAAAATAACAACATCCTCAATTTATAAACATGTTTGACGACACCTTAAAGTAAAATATATTAAGAATTAAGAAATATGAACTTTTCACCGCCAAATGAAATTATTATTTAAGCGAAAATATTAATTTCAAAAGTTTGGTTTTCATAAGGTAAAAAACATATTTTTGTTTTTCTTTGGTCAAAAACTTTATGAAAATTTCGAACTTGTGTGATTTTAAAAAATTCCGAAAATTTTGGAATTTGAAATAGATATCTGGATTTCGATAATTTTGTAATTGGAATTAGAAATAGTTTTTTACTTGTGATTTTTTTTTTTTGATTTTTTCCGGAAAGGCCATATCAATTATTTTCAATTTTCACTGATATTCCAGTCATAATCTATATAATATATAAAAGTTGAATTCCACACCTAATTGATTGACATTTGGCAATTTTAATTGGTGACATGTCCTCAATTTCATCCCAAGTGGCGAATTGATTGGTGGAAATAAATCATCAAAAAACATGTCATCATTTTCCAAAATTAAAATAATTAAATATATTTAATTATTTTATTACTATATTTATATCTTACCATTTATAAAATGCTCTAAATATATCAACTTTTTTGGAAACTCTAAATATTTTTTTAAAATTTTATAATTAATTTAATTTGAAATTAGTTAAATTTAATTTAAAATCTTCCCTTATTATAATTGCATGTGATTGGTGATGCTATGGAAATTTTGTATTTTAATTCATAAACTTGGATTTATATTAACAAAATATTGCAAAATAAATTATTTGATATGATACATTTTACATGAACATGACCAGAGAATATGTTTTTTTGACTAATTTAATATTATATATTAATATTATCTGTAAAAAAGAAAAATAAATGTTCGAATTTACAATATTGCGAAAATTGACACTGTTTTTTTTTCTACTATGTGCAGAGTAATGTACTCCCCATTATTTACCGCATTGAAAATTATACTACATGAACTTCATGTTATTATTTAACCAGCCATTTTTTCTTCACTAAATCCGGAGACAATAAATTTTACGATTGATTTAGCCTTTTAAATTATATACTAATTAAAATACAAACTTTATCATGATTATTCTAATAAATTGAATAACATAAATTAAGTTTAATTAATCAATTCATAAAAAAAACAAATGATTTTATATATTTCAAAACATAACAATGTTATTCTAAATCTTTGGTATTAAATTCGTTTATTCACTTTATTTAATACCAAACATTAAGAATATCAATTGTTTTGTTTAAAATGTATAATATCGTATATACTATATATTCTATATATTTAGTATATCTATTATTTTTTATTTTTTATTTTTTTTATTTATATAAGCATTAATTTTACAGTGACTTTTGTTTACTTGAAATTTGATCTATTTTCAATAGCATCAGCCTTTATGTTAGTTTCTAACATATGGTCATCCGTGCAAATAAGTTTAAGTTGTATATTAACTAGGATAACTTATGAAAACCACCTGAACTTAGGCTAAATTAAGAAAAACACCCTCACATATTCGTAATTACAAAAATCCCCTGATGTTTGTTTCCGTATTACATCGACCCCTTATGGTATGATTTTTCAAGGAATTTTTTTATTACGTGGAATATTCAACAAAAAATGCTGGGCACACGCGACATTTCTTTATGGTACTTTTTAAAGACAAAAATTACCCTCAGGGGACTTTACACGAAATATTTATTCTTCTTAAATAACACTTTCACAAATTTTTATTATTACCATGACCACCCCTGAGGGTAATTTTTATATTTAAAAAGTACGATAAAAAAGAAATGTCACGTTTGCAAGGGTAGAATCCATATGTTTTGGGATATTACATGGAATAAAAAAGATTCCGTAAAAAAATCACACCACAAGGGGGTCGTGTAAGATAGAAACAAACATGAGGGGGATTTTGGTAATCACCGATAAGTGGGGTGTTTTCTGTAATTTAGCCTAAGTTCAGAAGAATTTTCATAATTTATCTTATTAACAATGACTATTGTTCTTTTTCGTCTTAACTTTTGCTTATACCCTTATAATATTATAAATAGTTTTAATGTCAGTTTGATAATATAATTAATATTAATTTCTAATAAATTTAATATGTGTTTTTTGATGCTCAGCTACCACACATGAGAAATTTGATATAAAGGTTCGAGATTGAATATAATTTTTTTTTTTATCAAAAAATTATTGATACAAAATCAGAATTCATGATTAATATTAACATTAGAATTATAATTACAATTAATATTCTTTCAATTAGTATTAGTATTAGTATGAATACTAAAAATAGGATTCGGATTGTAATTAGGATTAATATAATATTATAATTAATATTAGCATTATGAATTAATATTAGCATTAATATTAATATTAGGATTCATATAATATTATAATTAATATTAGTATTAGAATTATAATTAAGATTATAATTAGAATAAACATTAGCATTAGCATTTGCATAATTAGTATTAAAATTATTAGGCTTATGATTAGTGTTACGAACAGGATTATGATTATGATTAGGATTAGAATTATGATAAGTGTTATGAATATGATTATAAATAGGATAAGGATTCGAATAATATTAGAATTACAATTATAATTAGCATTAACATAATAATTAGCATATCCAGATTAGCATTAGCATTAAACTTAGTATTAGCATTAACATTAACAATATTAACATATTAGTATTAATAAGAGAATTAATAATAGTATTAGTATTAATATTAGTATTAGTATTAGTATTAGTATTAGTATTAGTATTAGTATTAGTATTAGTATTAGTATTAGTATTAGTATTAGTATTAGTATTAGTATTAGTATTAGTATTAGTATGAGTATTAGTATTAGTATTAGTATTAGTATTACTTTTAGTAATAGTATTAGTATTAGTACAAATATTAGTATTAATATCAGTATAAGTACCCGTATCAATATTACTATTGTTATCAGTATCAGTATCAGTACCAATATCACTATCAATACCCGTATAAATATCAGTATTAGTATCGACATCAGTATCAGTATCAGTATCTGTATCTACATCTGCATCAGTATCAGTATCAGTATATGTATCATTAGCATTAGTTCATTAGCATTAAAATTAGTGTTAATATTAATATTAGTATTAGTAATAATATTAGTATAGTATTAGTATCAGTATTAGTATCAATATTAGTATTAATATTACTATTAGTAATAGTATTCGTATTAGTACTAATATTAGTATTAATATCAGGTATATATAAGTATTCGTATTAGTATTAGTATCGCTATCAGTATAAGTACAAGTATTAGTTTAAGTATCTATATCGGTATCAGTTTCAGTATGAGTATGAGCATCACTATCAATATCAGTATCAGTATCAGTATCAATATCAATATCAATACCAGTACCAGTATCAGTATCAATATTATATCAATATTAGTATTAGTATCAATATAATTAGTACTAATATTAGTATTAGTATCAACATCAGTATCAATATCAATATTA